CCGGCATTCCGAAGCTCTGGATGTATGAAAAGAGGTGCTGGCCGCCAAGCAGCAGGCGCTCACGTTGTGCAGGTTCCAATTTCTCATCCTTTCAAGGGTTTTTGATGAGTTGGATGAGGCTTCTGGTTGAGGAACTCTGGAACGGCAAATGTCCCTCCCTGTTGTGGGCGAGGTATGTACTGAAGGAAAGGGACCCTGATTTAGAGAACCCCCCCAGGTGTTGTTGAATCCAGCGTCTCGTCGTGTAGCCCTGCCTGAGCTTCGTTGAGTCGGGCTTTCGCACTTGGGTTTCTGATCTGAAGGGCCAAATTCCTTCAAGTTTCAAGCCAGCCCCGCCGACTCAACATTCCACACATCAACAAACCTTAGAGTCTCCAAGGAAGCTTTGCAAAGTAGGCTCAGTCGTGCGGGTTGGGGCGGGAGGGGGGGGGGGCGGGCGTTCTGCCAGACGGCTCTTGGACCGGTTCTTTTCAGCACCAGGTGGACCGATCTGTGGCCATCAAGTGCCGAACGAGCCCCGAGTGCCATGGCGTTTTTTTGCTCATGCCTTTTTTGCTAGCTGCTAGCTACCTTTAGTGTATGTCGCGGATAGAAGATGATTCTGGGATCTCTTTGGTGACCGCATCCGTGCTTCTTGGCGGTGCCAGGAAGGTCGTCGTATGTAAAGCGAGCATGGTTAGTATTGTTTTTATCTATATGTTCGAAACAGATTTGCAATTAAAGGTTCCCAGGCCACACTATCTAAAACCGATCTTGGGAAGGGAACTGACGTGGAATTCCCCTCTAGTCCGCAGCATGAGCGCCTCGTTCAGAAGCCCAAGAAATCCAAGAAACGACATGACACCAGGGCGATGCAAGTAAGGGTTTAGGTTGAGGTCTTAAAGTTTTTAATTGCGGAGGAGGACTGAGAGATGTTTTTGCAAATTGCTTCCAGAGATCCTGCCAGGAGCCTCCCTGAATCGGCCCAGACAGTCCCACATTATTGGGACTCCTAGCTGTATTAGGTCGCGCCACTGAGTTTGGTGTCTGAGCCGAATGCTATCAAAAAAAGGTTTCTATGTGTAACTTAGAGTTGCAAAGAGCTTGCTGTTCCTGGGACCAGGATCCAGAGAAAATTGTTGGAGGCTTACAGGTTCCAGCAGGATGATGAATGCGCGCGTTTTGTGCTCCTACAAACCTTTTCCCTACACCCAACACCGGTGGTTGGCTCCTAGAGTCCTAGAAACCCCTAGAACATGTGATTGGGATACGACAAAGTTTCGACGAGAAGGCAGCACAGTCATATGTGTGTATATGTGTATTTATGTGCCCATACATATACCTATCTGACCTAGCCATCTATTTGTCGGTCTATCTGTTTGTCTGCCTTACTGTCAGTCTGTTTGTCGGTTTATGTGTCCGAATGTTTGTTTGCCCGGCTATGTGTGCATACATGCATATATAGGTATGTACATGTATGCCATATTGCCACATGCTTGCCCTTCCTTTGTAGAGATGAAGGGCATGCCAAACTTCGGCCAACTGCTCCCTCTAGCGCCTCATTGCATGCTCATCCACCAGCAAGTTCGGAATGTTCAGTCACTGTTCAGACGTTGCGGCGTCAGTGCTACGGCTTAGGGAGTGTCAGTTTCGAAGTCGAGGCCCAGAGAGAGGAAATGCCGTCCGCCGTTGCCTGATGCCTCGCGGAATTGCGGACTTCAGGGCTTGAACTCTAACCTCTGAAACCCCCAGCGCCCCCGCCGAAACCTCCTTGCGCCAAGCCAGGAATGCTCCTCGGACATCCTGGTGATGCTGGATCCTGGTGGCCTGGAGAAGCTGCAGCAGCTCATCGACGGTACCTTCCGGGACAGGGACGCAAAAAGGTCGGTTGCGCTGTCGTTGTTGGTGTTTAAGGTTTCGGGCTTCAAGCGTAAAGTTTGCAAATTCCAAGGGAAGCCAATCCCAAGCCGTCAGTTCACACGAATTCGAAAACTACGAGGACACATCTACGCGAGATCGGACTGGCTCCATGCCATCCAAGCTCCGGGTTGTCCATGCGCACCGCATAGAAAACGAGGACCAGGTTTAGTAAGGGCGTGGGGTTCCAAAACGCTGACATTCCCTGCTGCTGGGCTACGTTAGTAAGTGCTGTTAGGGACCCACAAACGAAACATGACATAAGCATAAGCATTTTAGAGGGATATCGCTACCTTATTGGGCTTCTTTATAAGGGGCTTTCTATGGGATATCCCTATCCGAAGTTTTGCTTACCTGCTTTTGGGGGCCCTGTGTTAGGGCCCTCTTTCGGTTTGTTCGTTTTTCCAGTCGTCAAGCAACGAGTCATGCCCTCCATGTCTTATGTCGTGCCCTCATGGGTTGCCTTGAAAAGCAGGCCCTGTGGCAAGAGTACACCGTCGACCGTTATGCGATCAAGCTGAAGAGGCGACACCGGTGCACGGCGCTGGACAGGCAGGTCGGCGATTCCCCGACTGTTGCATTTAGAGTGTCGGTTTATCGTGGAGGTTCGGGCCCGGTAGACATCTCGTCAGTGACTGGCCTAGCAATGACGGAATCCCGAAAGACTTCGGGGAGGTTGGGCCTTGTGAGATTTCTGGAAGGCTGGGCGGCGAGGCGCTGACGCAGGACTTCGTCAGAGGCCTCGGCCTCATGGAAGACCTCGACCAGCGCGTGAACGAGGCGGGGCCCCTCTCTCTTGGTTGAGTGCTTGAGCCGCAGGTCAGGGTGAAGAGAGTGAGGGAGAGAGAGCGGGAGAGGAGACAGCGAGCGGCCGTGCGAGCGAGATAGAAAGGCACAGCAAACATAGAAGGAGAACACATGCATGCCATATCTCTACTCCGGACTCTCTCTCTCTGTCTCTCTGTCTCTCTCTCTCTCTGTCTTTCTGCCTCTCTGTCTCTCTGTCTCTCTGTCTCTCTGTGTCTCTCTCTCTCTTTCTCTCTCTGTGTCTCTCTCTCTGTCTCTCTGTGTCTCTCTGTGTCTC